CTCTCTCGAGGAGTCTTTCTAGATCTCGATCCCGTTCTAGATCAGGATCAGGGTAAGTCTTGTGGATGCTTTCCTTTTAATTTCTTCTTTTTCGTCTTTTCTTATTTTCTCTATCTTATTTTCTATTTTTTTATCATTTTTTTATTTCTTAATTTTTAAACGAAAATCCATATGATACTTTTTTTCAATTTTTTCTTTCTATCCACCATCTTTGAATATTTAGGTCAGAAGATGGAGATGCAAAAGCTGACGAAGCTGAGGAAGTTAGATCTGGCGATGAAGAGGCAGTGGAACCCGAAGAAGAACCAGAAGGTAAAATATTTTGAGTATCTGGATTATCAGAATAAGGTTAGATTATTCTGTCATTAATATGCCAAATAGAAAATCTTTTTATCTGGTATTACATGATTTCTGGTACATTAAGAGATAATTAAAATGATTATGACAGATCTTTTGTCGATTCTTTTTTTTTCTTTGAAATTACCTTCAGTTTTTTTACAACTAACCTATAACTTTACATCTAACTTTGAATGGATATAATGGAGATGAATTTGGCAAGTATTGTAATAAATGTTTTTTCTATCTCAAAGAGTCAAATGAAACATCCAAAAAATATCATAATTGGAAGAACTTTGTATAATATTATAATATCGTACGCTGCGAATGAATAAAAAAAGAGTAAGTTTTCTATGACTATAGGTGAAGATTTGGATGGCAGTAGCGAATATGACGAAGAGGAAGAGGAAGAAGACGATGACAGACCTAGAAAGAAAAAGAAAAAAGATAGATTTGGTGGATTTATCATTGATGAAGCTGAAGTAGATGACGAAGTTGAAGATGACGAGGAATGGGAAGAAGGAGCACAAGAAATTGGTATTGTAGGAAACGAAGTAGATGAATTAGGACCTACTGCAAGAGAAATTGAAGGAAGACGTAGAGGAACTAATCTTTGGGAGTAAGTTTTAATATTTAATATATTAAAAAGTAATAATTACATATGTTTTATAATTATTATAATTATATCTCGTTGCGATTAATTTGTATTAGCTCACAAAAAGAAGACGAAATAGAAGAATACTTGAGGAAAAAGTATGCGGACGAATCTGCGGCTGCTCGTCACTTTGGTGACGGAGGTGAAGAGATGAGCGATGAAATAACACAACAAACTTTATTACCCGGAGTTAAAGATCCAAATCTTTGGATGATAAAATGTCGTATCGGGGAAGAAAGAGCAACTGTACTTTTATTAATGCGGAAGTTTATTACGTACCAATTCTCTGGTATTTATATGTTCTTTTCAATTCTAATACAATTAATTATTATTTCTTAATAAGTTTCATTCATATTTCTCTTATAGGAGAACCGCTCCAAATAAAATCGGTTGTTGTACCTGAAGGTGTAAAAGGATATATTTATATAGAAGCCTACAAACAACCGCACATAAAGGCTGCTATCGAAAATGTAGGTAATTTAAGAATGGGTATATGGAAACAACAGATGGTACCAATTAAGGAAATGACTGATGTATTAAGGGTTGTTAAAGAACAAACAGGATTAAAAGCTAAACAATGGGTCAGATTAAAAAGAGGCATTTATAAAGACGATATAGCACAGGTGGATTATGTTGACTTAGCGCAGAATCAAGTACACTTGAAGCTACTCCCAAGAATAGATTATACTCGGCCACGTGGTGCTTTAAGAACGGCACAAAGCGAATCCGAAGCTTTGAAAAGGAGAAAAAAGAGAAGACCACCTGCAAAACCATTTGATCCTGAAGCAATTCGAGCTATCGGAGGAGAAGTTACCAGTGATGGAGATTTCTTAATTTTCGAAGGCAATAGATATAGCAGAAAAGGGTAACTACATTTTATTTAATTACCCTTAATAATCCTCTAATATTACATATATATATATATATGTGTGTATATATATATATATATATATATTTTTTTTTTTTAAATTGTATTTATCAGATTCCTCTACAAGAATTTCACAACGAGTGCTATTATAGCAGAGGGTGTTAAACCGTCTCTTTCCGAATTGGAAAGATTTGAGGAAGCGCCTGAAGGTGTCGAGATAGATTTAAGTGGAACACCGGCAACAGGAGTACCAGCTGGAAAAGAGGATCAAGCTGTGACACATTCGTTCAGTAACGGGGATAATGTCGAAGTATGCGAGGGCGAATTGATAAATTTGCAAGGAAAGATAGTTTCGATAGACGGAAATATAATAATGGTTATGCCAAAACACGAAGAGTTGAAGGAGGCTTTAGAATTTCAAGCAACGGAATTGAGAAAATACTTTACCATGGGCGATCATGTTAAAGTACGTATACGTTTTAATATAAACGATAAATAAATAAATTATGATTTATAATTAATTGTATTACGTATATATGTTGTAACGTTAAAGGTAGTAGCTGGACGATACGAAGGTGATACAGGTTTAATCGTTAGAGTCGAACAAAACAGAGTAGTTTTGTTCTCTGATTTATCAATGCACGAATTGGAAGTTTTACCAAGGGATTTACAATTATGCTCGGATATGGCAACAGGTGTTGATAGTTTAGGCCAATTTCAATGGGGTGATTTGGTTCAACTCGATGCTCAAACGGTCGGCGTTATAGTACGTTTAGAACGTGAAAATTTTCACGTTCTTTCAATGCATGGTAAAGTGATCGAAGCTAGGCCACAGGGTTTAACGAAACGTCGGGAGAATAGAAACGCAGTGGCGTTGGATTCTCAACAAAATTCAATACAAAAGAAAGATATTGTTAAAGTGGTCGACGGTCCGCATGCTGGTAGGGGAGGTGAAATAAAACATCTCTATAGAAGTTTCGCATTTTTACATTCGCGAATGTTCGTTGACAATGGAGGAATATTCGTCTGCAAAACGAGACATTTACAGCTTTCTGGTGGAAATAAATCGGCTATTACGTCTATGTCACCAATCTCTGGTTTTATGTCACCAAGAATCGCCTCTCCTATGCATCCCAGTGGGTTGGTATCGTCATATATTTGCTTTCTAATTTCTATTTGTTTATTTTCAATCTATAATCAATATACGAATAATTTTTTTTTTTTTTTTTTTTTTTTTTGTATAGAAGTGGAATGGGACGAGGAGGTGGCGGCGGCGGTGGTAGAGGCAGAGGTCGTGGTGGAGGTACAAGAAGAGACAGAGAGTTAATAGGAACGACTATAAAAATAACTGGAGGACCTTATAAAGGAAACGTAGGCATAGTTAAAGATGCTACGGAAACTACTGCGCGCGTAGAACTACACTCAACTTGTCAAACGATATCCGTCGACAGATCTCACATAGCAAACGTAGGTGTACCAACAAAGGACGGTGGTTTCAGCAGTTACAGTCGTACACCAGCTTATACGGCCGGTGGACAAACACCAATGTACGCGAGAGACGGATCGAAAACTCCTATGCACGGATCTCAAACGCCTATGTACGAAAGTGCGTATCATTTGCAATAACATTTTATATTTTTTTTTCCTCCCTTCAGACGTCTATAATATTTAAACATGATTATATTTCTATTACAGATGGTTCACGTACGCCTCATTATGGTTCTATGACGCCATCTCACGATGGCTCAAGGACTCCAGGTCAGTCAGGTGCTTGGGATCCTACAATCACCAATACACCAGCGAGAACAAACGACTTCGATGGTTATGGCATGGAAGAAGCTGGTTCGCCAGGATACGTATCTGGTTATCCTTCTACCGGTGGTCCGTTTACACCTCAAACACCGGGTACCATGTATGGATCCGAACAAAGTTTCAGTACGTATCAACCTAGTCCAAGTCCAGCGGGTAGTGCAACTGCTAGTCCAAGTCCTGCGGGTTACGTTGCTACACCGTCACCAAGTGGGACTGGATATACAACCAGTCCTCATGGAGCATTCGCCACTCCATCGCCTATGGGTTACAGTCCTATGACACCAGGTGAGACAATGGATATTTTATTTAATAAGTTATAAATCTCTTATAAAAGGATAAGATATTGTTGTTGGTTTTTCTTTTTTTCTTGTTTAAGTTATACGTTTGTATTTTTTAGGAGTAGCAGGAAGTCCGTACAATCCGCAAACTCCTGGAGCAGGTTTAGATAGTGGTGTTGGGTCTGGTATGATTGGTAACAGTGAATGGCATACAACAGACATTGAAGTACGCATTCGTGGTTCTCATCCTGATCCAGCATTAGCAGGACAGCAAGGTGTTATACGTGGAATTTCTGTAAGTATTAAACAACTTTTCATTTTAATTCGTAAGATTTCTCATAAATAATACATTTATTTGAATAAAATTTCTACTTTTCCAATATTAGGCTGGAATGTGTGCCGTCTTTCTACCCGTCGAAGACAGAGTTGTTAATTTAGTTTGCGATCAATTGGAACCTGTAGTACCGTCGAGAGGAGATCGCGTTAAAGTGATAGTTGGTGAGGAACGAGAAGCTGTTGGAACTTTACTCTCTATAGATAATCAAGAAGGTGTCGTCAAATTGAATACCGACGAAGTTAAGATGTTGCATTTGCGATTTTTATGTAAAATGAAGTCATCCTAATCGACAAAATTTTCATTTCTATAAGTTAAAAAGTGTAACACTTAATTCGAAATATTTTTTATTATTATGAATGTTTAATTAAACTCTAATCTTTGGTAAGATATACTATGATATGGATTAACTGACAAATGTATGGACATGGAAGTATTGTATATATATATATACATGTATATACATATATGATGAGTATATATATATATATAGAGAGAGAGAGCGGTCACATGTGTTGTTTCATAGGTATTGTAGGTTCGTCAGTTTTTTTATTTTTTTATTTTCTTTTTTCATAAATGTCTATTCGATTTCAATCTGCAATGTGAAGTTCGTCGCGTTGTAAAAAATGGACGACGAGATCGTGACGGAAGAACTAAAGAAATCGAAAAGGCCGTTGAACGATTTTTGAAAAAAGAAATTTAATTGAAAAGTCATTAAAAAAGAAAAAAGAAATAAGTGAAAAAAAAAAAAAGCAAAATCATACGGGTAGATATTTGAGATTTGTCCATACGGAGCATGAAACCACATTCTTCATGGTTTCTTTTAATACTTGTAATGAGTATAACCTCTAACGAACAAAGGTATTTATATAATTTGCATGTGTAATTAAAAAAAAAAGAAAAGTAAAAAAAGGTATAAAACGTATCACCTAATGTCCTCAAGAACATATTTACGAATCATATTTGTATTATTATTACTATTATTATTGTTATTATTATTATTAAGTACCGCTTAAAATTTATCGAGATAGATAAATGTAAAAATCGTAATGTCCGAATTAAAACCGAGAAATAATAATAAACAAAAAATAAAAAAGAAAAAAGAAAAGAAAGAAAAATTACCAACTAAAACATTTGTACGAGGATCCTTTAATCTTCTCGCTACTTCTATCGTACCATTATTCTATTTATAAATATACCTGTATTATTATTAATGTAGAACAAAAGCCAACAAAGTTTTGAGGAACAACGAGAACATTGGTACGGTATTGTTTGAGAAAGGCGATTATATGAAACGTTGTTGGACCAGCGAGGATTTTACCATTTTGAATAGTCGACGTATGTTTCAAGATATTTTACCGAAGGTAAAGAAAAAGAGGGAGAGAACAAAATTATCTAGAACAAATTGACGACGAGACGTTAATCAGATTAACAAGGTTGACGACGACTTAACGTCATAGTTATCGTTTTAATTACCTATACAATTTTTTTTTATTAGATGAAGGTCATCGATTATCAGAACGACCAATATATAGCATTGTTAATGGATTACTTTCATATTTGTCTCGAGTCCGTACGAAAGCTTTCAATAGGAAAAACTAAACATTTGATGCTAAAAGCTTTGGCCGATGCAATGGGCGGTTATTTGCGAGCTTACATATTACCATTTACAAAACAATCGTATTATGCAGGGAACATCAAGTATCATAACGCAAAAAAATTATTCGAGCTTTACGACGAGCTTAAAGATTTCCTTCATACGAATGGGAATGGTTGGTCAAAGTCACGCGGTGAAATTACACCATTTAAAACGTTGCCAATCGTAATGACACCATCGGAATCATTCGTAGCTTGTAACGGATTAATTACATATCCTATTCGTGAAGATAGAAATAATCGTCATATTAAAAGAAGTTCCGCTCGTAGAAAGAAAAAACGATATATCTATCGATTAAGATCGAGGAGACATTTGCCTGCAGGTATTTTTGCTAAATATATATATATATATATATGTTTTGTTTTAATAATTTTTTTACATTATTGTACATTTTTTTATACTATATTCTTATTATGATTTTTTTGTCTATCCTAAAAAATTTGATTTGATTTCAAATAATAATATTACTGATAGATACACTGGTATACAATATACTGAGTGTAATTTATAAATTATTTGAAAAAGAAAAAGAAAATATTATAAATTCTCTATAATTGAAATTTCTCTTTTATATTCCATTGAAAAACAATTTCATATAAAATTACTAATGAATTAGTATAATATACTAAGAAGTTATATAAGGAAAAATAAAAAAATAATAACAATAATAGAAATAATAATACAAATAATAATAAAAATAATGATGATAAAACAAAATTTAAAAACAAAGAAAGAAAGTATATACATATACATAAGCGTATAACTTAAAAGTTACATAGCGTTACAAGAGACATAATAATATGTATATATATATATATCTTTTTTTTTTAATCATTTTTTTAAGGATACAACGATGATTCTGATGTCGACGAAGAATCGACGATTGTTCCTATTCCATTTTTGGACGACGAAACGAAACCAAATAGGTTTGTTTTTAAATTAATCCTCGTACGTATTCTCGAATGTATAGCGTTTATTCACATCTTGTATTAATAATTAATAATACTCTCCTATACATAGTATCGCCGTACCATTCAAATCGAACAGCCTTCAGTCTTTACATTCCGAACGATCGGCGTTCGTTCTCGTTAAATATTACATTGCCAGCGTGAAGTGTATCGTATCGAGGTCGAAAACAAAAGACGCCCTGGATAATTTCAATAGAAACTTCTTCTCTTGGCTGCAGCAATCAGTACGTTGTGAGTTTTTCTAAAATTATATTTTTCTAATATCGAGAACACTATGATAATTAAATATTATTTTACGTAATATAGGTAAAACGACATTTGGACGATGAAAAATGGTATCCAGCATTCGGTGGAGTTTTGAGAGTAATTTTCTCATTGGAAGAGACAGGTATAAATAAATATATATATATGTGGATATATAAATAAATTTTTGAATCTCTTTAAATACATTACGTACATATGTCACGTTCACAAGCCTAGTTGAGTAACTCCACTTTTGGAATTTTAAAAAATTTAAGCGTCGAAGTATTTGACGCGACTTCTCACTTTTTATATTCATAATAAATTTCTCTAATTTCCTTTATTTAATACCATTAAATGACATAATTTTTGTTTGTCATCGAATAATAAAATAATTTATTTCAGTAATAATGATTATTCTAATATGTTGTTAGATGAAAACTACGTCTGCATTTATACATTCTATTTGAATTTATATTTTAAATGGGAATTCTAAATAACAATTTATATTATTTCATCACATTTCTCCACTTTTAGAGTAAATCAATTTGGCAAATGAGTAGGTCATATGTACATAGATCACCGTGATAATCGATGGATATTATTTGTTTCTTTCAGAAGGAAATATGAAAATCAAAAGTCATTCTTATCAAGTTATGCCGAAAATGGAAATCGTACACGACAGCGTGTCAATCGATGACATACCACCTCTTTATAAGAGTAAGTCGACAAAAATATATAAAATGTATATATTATATATATATAGAATCTAAAGATATAATTCTCTACGTGTATAGACAATGAAGTTATAATGTTTGGAACTACCGAATTGATTATAATCGCTGTAGTAAGTGCATTATTGGTCTGGTTGTTGGTTGGTTTGAGTCTAGTTTGCTACAGATATCTCAGCAGACATTCCGAAGAATGTTCACCGTGTGAATCTCCAAACATACCGTAAGTTAATACATTACGTATGTACATCCGTTCCATTTATTACGCAAAAATGATAATAAATGATATTTCGTTTAAAGCATTGATTAAAAATTGTTGAGAAATGATGATCCAATAAATAGCGCAACCAATCGTTTTTATAGAGTCGCAGTGCTCTACGAAAATACTGATTATTCTAAATGTGAGAGGAGAGTCTCGAAAACGATCGTCCCGATGGGACCAATAGAAAAACTAAAGGAGTGGTATAAAAACAAGTTCGGACGATGTCCTGGTGGTTGTCAGGATCGATACGACGAGGAACGTTGTTTAGCCGCTATTAGTTACACCAGCAAAGACACAGTATCTGGAAGCAGAATTTGCCAGTGAGATGAGAAACGAAAAAAAAAAAAAAGAAAATAAAAAAAGAAAACACACAAACAAATTGGTAAATACATTGAAATATATCATTTAGAGATACTCTTAAATTTGTTGCAGGAGGAAAAAATACGTGAAATCTACTTCGGCATCACCTTCGAGTTCTCCTGTAGAACGAACGATATTTAGAGTAAGTATCGTAAATATATATATATATGTATATATTATTTTTTTTATTGCTTCTAACAAAATAGACTTGGTCTTTAATTTATAATCAATCTTTATACAGGATGTAACAAAATTACGCTGCGAAACTTTAGGAATGGATTTCTCATATGTAGAAACAAAAAATACAAAATAACGTTCTATCAAAATGGATCATTTTTGTATAAGATTTCGAAATAGGATCTTATAATTAGTGTACAGAAGAAATGGAAGAAATGTTCATTTCTATTATTTAACATAAGATATTAGCTGTTATGAGTAAACTTTTCGAGATAGGTTAAAATATATTCCGATCATGCATAAAGAACTAAGAAAAAGAGTGGGAGAGTTTTTTATTCACCTAATCCCAAAAAGTTTTAAAGTTGCATTAAAATTTCGGGTACCTCAAAGATTACATTCGCCGTTGTCCGAATTCTAAGAAAATTGCGTTTTGGTGGGAACATTTTAAGTTCATTTGTTTCAACGCATTTCATTGGTCGAAATCCAACAATCAAATGCGTACGCGTTGATATATCACCTTGAATTTAACGGTCGACATTAAACATATAACCTAATTTTTTCGGAAAAGTAATCATTGATAGAATCTATTTTTATTCTCTCTCTCCATTTACGTATAAGTGGGATCCATTTCTAAACTCGCGTGTTTATCGCGTAATTTTGTCACACTTGGTATCATAAGCGTGAGCGTTCGATCGAGGATGAGATACGTGAAATAGTTATTGCATTTTTCTTTTCTTTATTTTTCATTTTTCTTTTCCCAGCGAAATGTTTGCTACACTTCCGATGCATCTAGCACGGTGTCCGAGGTTCCAGGGAAACGAAGAAGATAATTAATTAATTAATTACGATAATGAATTGAACGCGTCGTATTTTTAGCAGTATAATTTTGATCAATATAGATGTACTGGTATAGACCGAAGTATAAATGTAGATCTTTTCTATAGAAAAAGAAAAAAAAAAGAAAAAGAAAAAAAATAAAAGAGTAAATTGTCTCGTCGAGAAAATAAAAATGACGATCGTCGATGCATTCTACCAGTTTCAAACGTAGTAAGTGCGTGCTCGTTACCGCGTTTTTTTGAAACGGAAGGAAAAAGAAAAAAAAAACCGAAAATAAATAAAAAAAAAAAAAAAAACCGAACAAAGAGAAAAACGAAACGAAACGAAACAAAAGAAAATAAATAGAATAAAGGGAAAAAACAAATACGGCAAAGATCAACGTGTATTACACGATTCAACTGCAACTTGTTGCGAGCATTAAAGAAGAGAGGAAGGGATCGAAAGTAACGAACACCGGCATTGCCATTGGTCGAGACGGAGAAGGATAGAAGAGTGAGAAGGATATAGGGAGCATGAGAGAGAGAGAGAGAGGGTGAGAAGCTGCGCGAACTGGATGCGCCATCTTGAATTAATCGAGCAGTTGAAAGAGCGGAGGGGATGTCAGTCTCGTGCTGCACATCGTTGGTGGTGGATCGTGTACAGCTTTTACTTTTATTACGAGAAGAAACTGGATAAGGGTCTCGCGCGTTATATTCGGTAACGGACATTTTTTCTTTCGATCATTATCAAGACAAATAGAGAGAGAAGAAAGAAAAGAGACAAAAATTGTTTCGATATATTTGTGCGATGCGTCGTCATCTACGTGAAAAATTAACGTTCGAAGATAATCGACGTAGAAAACCGAACGAATATTTCGAATCAAATACGAAACGCGATCGTCGAAGTTTCCTTTAATCGTGATTGAATTACATTTTTTTTGAAGACTTCTTTTTTCAAATGAAACAAATTAATAACGTTTCGTTATAATTTTCAAATATAAACGAGACGATCTTTTTCTAAAGTGATAATATCGTTCGTATTCGTGGACGACGATATCGACGTTTCTCTTTTGTTTTTTTTTGTTATAGACATTTTATGCGTTTGAAATTTTGGCGCGTAATAGAACGAGAATTTGAACGTTATGAGAAGCACGATGGATGAACGGCCTGTCAACGTTCCTCGAAATATTTCAATTCAGTTCAACGAAGAATAATCTTGACGAATTCATATATAAACATTTTTATATATATATATAATTCTTGAAATAATTAAAATTTGTATCGACAAGTAAGTAAATCGTGTGTGGTGACGCGCTTGTGCGGCGTGGGAGGAGAGGGAGGGAGGGAAAGACGTTTGAACTTTTTTCATTCGAATAAGTGCGAAAGCCCGCGCGAAACATTTGAAAGCGTACGTTCTGGCGCGTTTTCTAAAGAGAACGTTGGGAGGACACATTGATCACGTATCAACGGCGATTGGCGTGCATTTTATCAAATTATACGAGAATACTTTTTGAAGAAAAAAGAAAACAAGAAATAGAAAAGAAAGGAAAAACGGTAACAATAACAATTTTTCAACAAATCTTTTCATAAATTTTACGTAACGTAATCGTACTTAACTCATTTGTGCCATTTTTTTTCGAACATTTTTTGATCTCTTTTTATTGCACTTTTTTGTAGTTTCCCCTTATCCATATCGGGCGCGTTCGCGCGTATGTATACGTGTGTTCGTTTGTGAGATGGTGGAAATAATCGAATCGCGTTAGTGTCCTTAATGTGTATGTGTGTGCATGTGGTCGCGTGTGCGTTTGGCCCGGGAAGAAAAAAAAATTAAATAAGAAAGACAGAAAAGAAAAGTAACTGAAGTTTGTCACATGTGAGAGAGAGAGAAGGAGAGAGAGGGAGAGAGACAAGGGGTACACATATACGCATACACATACGTGAAACATAGCCAAGAACAGTAGCCGCAACATGGAAGCGGGCGATTCCAGGAAACTGTCTCTTCTGCTATGCCTTCTCCTTATTTTCACGAACGTCTTACAAGGTAAGTAACCGTCATTTTCTTCTTTTTTTTCCCCCCCCCCTTTTTTTTTTTATATATTCTTCTTCACTTCTTTAGCCATTGTTTTTTTTTTTCCTGCGAAACCAATACCAATGTCTCTTTATATATATATGATCTATGTACAGTTAGAGTATATAAGCTTTACGTACATGGATGGGAATGTGTAACTAAATACGTATCGTCTTGCAAACTAAGGACAAGAGAAATTATATTTGAAAATTTTTCTTTTGGATGGGTAAATAAATACGTATCTCGCAATTGACACGAGTGAAATTATATTTATTCGTTAAGAAAAAATTTCTCTTTTTTGTGAAACTAATACCAATGTTTTAGTATATAGGATTTTCGTTTATAAATATGTCCCTATCGATTGAAGTTGCAAGAAAGTTTATTAGAAAAGTATTTGTACGGTCTCGCACAAAGTGCGTGTAATTTTTATTTTCTTTCTTTTCTTTTCTTTTTCTTTCCTTTTAGTCGCAACCTTTTCGAGTTTATGGAATATAGCTTTTTATTTATATATTTATTCTTTCTTTTAATGGATATCTATAATTTTTTCTCTTTTTTCTTTTTTTGTATATTTATGTGGTAGGTGTAATTTCCAATCAATATTACGTCTTGTAAAAAATGTCTACCATGAATATGCATTTCATGAGATAAACTGCATGATAAACGACTTATATAACAGATTCATACTATTATTCATACTGCACTATAATTCATATTCCATAGTAGATATAAATTAAAAATCGATTTATGAAAATATACGTATAGTTCAATGATTGTTTTTCAAATTGCGATATAATAAATCGATCATTTTAATGCTCAAAATATCGATTATCTAGTAAACGACGCAATAGCAATTTTTTTATCACGTATGACTGTACGAATGTGCAATAAGAAAAAAACGACAACAATAACAATAGAATGAGAACAAATATTATAGTCATCTGAAAGTAAACTAAATTAATGGAATTCAATTATAAATCCATTAAAGAAATAATAGTAGTAATAATAATAAATAAAAAGAAAATAAGAATATAAAGACTAGGTTAAGATCGTCCTTCGTACTTTGGAAAGATCACGATTGAAAAACAAAACAAAAAGAAACATCTTTACACGCGTTTTTTTTGTTATAGATGGACTCTCAGGGCTGACGAAATTTCTCTTATTAATTAAACTTTTTTTTTTTTATAATCGATCGTTCGTTGAAATATTTGCTCGTTCGGACATCTATGAACGGTACAACCTATACACACACACACATCTATATAAGTACATATATATATATATAAGTACATATATATAAGTATATATATACATGTACGCGCTTATGCGGAGGTGGAGGAGACTTGTTTCGACCTGTTTGACATTCGCATCTCGTATGTACTCTACGTATATGGTAGGTACATATGTACATATGTAAATCGAAATAATAACATTGATAATTCGACTAAACCCCGTTATTTTTTCGTTTTCTTAATTTTTATGGTTATTTTTTTCTTTATTTTTCTTTTTTTTTTTTTTTTTTTTGTTTCTTTCTCCTGGTACAAAATTTAACACAGAAAATCATTCCTACAAATGAATCATTATCGTCAGCGCTCTAAACAAATTCAATCGTAATATCTCGTTTGGACGAAGGTATATTAGCATCGTGAACGTATACGTACGAATGAACAAATGAACTAAACGAAATGAAATGAAATGAAATGAAACGAAACGAAGCGATTTATTATCAAATATATCGTGTATCCTCTTTACATGGCGTGTAGTAACGAGTTAAAGCGTTTCTCGCTAATGGCGTAGGATAATTAAGTGAAAATGTACAGAGCTCTCTCGATTAAAAGTAATTTCGTTCGAGGACATTAGCCAAATAATTGAGCTTTAAGCGTGCCGTTTGAAAATGAAATGCTGGTTTTTGATACGTATATATATATATATATATATATATATATATATATATATATGCAAGGTAGGTCATTAACTGTTACCACGTCAAATATTATCATTATTTAGTTTTTGGTTTTACGGATGGTTATTGCAATATAATGCACGTACAGTATGTGTATTCGTAGAGAAAAAAATAATAGAATTGGGAATGTGTAATACACTTCTGAATTATTTTATCTTTTTCTTTCTATTTTTTTTTTATTTCAATAAAATTATATATATGTATATATATATACACTCATACACACTCACATATGTCTATATTTTGATGCAGGAACGTAACTCTTTGTTGTAACACGTTTTGAATAGCCCGCCTTTACAAGCTCGCAGACACTTTTTCGATATCGACAGCTGTCGTTGATTCAGTTAACACAAACACAGAAAAAAAGAGAGAGAGAGAGAGAGAGAGATTGCAGTTACGAACGTTAAATGAAAGAGCATTATTCTAATGGAAACAAATATGCGTTTAATTAGATTTTATACTGGATTTTTTTCTCGACCTTTTTTCTTTTCTTTTTTTTTTTCAACGTAGATAATCTCTCAAATCGCGAAGAAAATTGCTTTATCAACTATAATACATAGTTACGAAAATATTTTCGAAACTATCCTAGGAACGGATTACTGCGCCATTATAATAAATTGTTGAAATATTTAATAAAGAATATTATACGTAAAAATATTATATCAGCTGAACGCTAACGAATACATACATACGGTACGTACGTAGTTGGTATGAAAAATATTTATCGTATAGAAGAATTTTCGAATATTACGTTTCGTACATAGTTCTCATTGCAATTATTCGTATTTATCTCTTTCAAAAGTCAAGCTTTTATGTTAGAAAGAGAGAAAGAGAGAGAGTGAGAGGGGTTGGGGGACGGGAGAGAGAGAGCTTCCTGGAAACTTCTGTCCCAGTTTTCCACGAAGTTCTCGGTCAAAAGTTTGTTTTAGATAAACGTTTAACCAAAGCGTTATAAGCGAAACGAGAACATCGTGGACTGTTATTCTATTCACGAGATAGATATATCTATCTATGTAGAACGAGGATATGTGATCTTGTGTATATATATATATATATGCATGTATGGATGTAAGAACTCTTTTAATTCAACATTCTATTTTTTTTGTGTAACTTTTCATTCTAAGGTTAAGGTAGGAAAATAAATAGACACGAGGAAGAGAGAGAATAGAATAGAATATAATAGAATAGAAAATAAAGGATAAAAAAGAAATATTTTTCTAAGATTGAATATGTAAATTCAATGTTTTCCTCTTTTTTTTTCTCTGTCATATTAAATAGAAATTCAAATATTTAAATGATTTCTTGAAAATATTACGAATGTACTTTAGGTCTATTACTTTTCTTCATAAATTTCCTCTTAAATCTTGAATAAGATAAGTAGAGAGAGAGAGAGAGAGAGAGAAAGTCACTTAAAATTCGCCCGTGTGTTTTGTCTCTTTTTCTCATACACTCTAGATACACAATGGAAGGAAATCGTAAAAAGGGGGTGGTGTAACCATAGAGTTGCCCAGAGGGGGTTAGTTCGCGAAGCGAAATAAATTCGAAGGTATCACCGGTAAAATATCGTCGTCGGTGCAGTTTATCACGTAACTCGAAGAAAACTGTATCCCACGGCGATGGTTGTTGGTGATGGTTAATGGTGGTGGTGACGATGGTGGTGGGTGGTAGTTGTAGTAGTAGTAGTAGTAGTGGTAGTGATGGAGACACGCGTTCTTGCCGTTGGCTGAATTATCGTAGCCAGCTTAGCACCGTAGAAAATACACGGGGTTTTGATGAGAGGAGATATTGAACTTGCCATGAACACTGCAAAGTAATCCGTTTCGTATCTCCACCCCTTCATTTCCTTCCTCTCACCTCATCACTCTACTCTTTTACGTATTATTATTGTTATTAATATAAAAGTCATAATTTCTGTGCATGCATGTATGCGGATTTATGTATATATGTGTGTGTGTTTATTTTCCTATAATTTTTATAATAATAATAATAATTTTTGTCTAATCCAAATGAAATTTCGTTTAATTGCTCTTTATATATTCGACGTAAATTAATAGGATATTTTCAATTTTCCTTAATAGTTTCCTTAATAAAATAAAGAAAAAAGAAAAAAATATTTTCGATGTATTTCATTATTGATATTTGAATTGATATTGTCGAATAATCTAAATTGAAATTCGAATCGAACTTTAGTTATCTTACAAATAAAATTCTAATGAGCGCGAGTACATTAATAATAATCAAATTCAAAATCTCTCTGTCTCTCTCAATTAAGCTTTTATGATGCCATATTTGATTGGGAAAAAATACACATACATCAGTATTTAAAAATTAATTTGTTATATGAATTATTATAATTATCATGTTCACTTTATCCACATTGCAATTAACTCGCCGACTTTTTTTTTCTCTTTTGAAACGAAGAGTCTTCTTTTTCTTTTTTCTCTCTTTTATTTTTTTTTTCTTTTTTTTCTTTCTTCTTCTACTTTTCTTTTTTTTTTTTTCGTTGCAACCCGATCGAAGGGGTTAATATATCACGCATAACGTAAAACGCATCCGTTAGTCGTTCGAACTTCTGGGAGGGGAGGAATAGGAGGTAGGAGAGGGTGGAAAGTACCAACGGAACTTCCGCAATGGGGAAAGTGTTTCTCTCTATACGGGAGGGGTTAGGGGGATGGACACAACGATCGATTTGGACGCGCGTTGGACGATGATAAAGTTTGACGTGAATCTGAATAATAAATCCTCTTTGACGTACGATTTCACTTTCTAACGATAACGCAAGCAAGCAGCCAAGTTCGATTGAATTAGTTAGGGGTTGCGTATACTAAATATGTATATATATATTCTTTTTTTGAGGGTTGGAAACTATTATTATTATTATTATTATTATTATTGTTATTATTATTGTTATTATTATTATTATTACTTCTTTTTTTCTTTTTCCTTCGGTCGAGAAGTTTTGGTCGAAAGGATTTTTGGTCCTTGGTAGAGGTAGTAAGTACTTTACACAGGG